TGATGCGATTTCAATTTTTCCTTTCTCTTTGGAGTGTTACAAGCTCTTGGTGCATAAAGAAGATCTGTAAAGTTGCAAATACTAAAGTCTCAAATCCAAAGAGATATTCTTTATAAAAGTTAAGAGTCAACCACGCCCTCCTAAAACGGCTCGTTCTAACACGCCCCCACATGTCTACATCACGATGTGGGAAGATTTGCATAACGCCGCCCAAATGTTCACGCAAAGAAAGAAGGCGTAACTTTTATTGGGGCATAGAGGAGAAACAATAATGTACATTATGTGGAAAATAATGTTTTTTTTTTTACCTTAAACCGCATAAACACATTTCATTACACCAAATACACAACATAATGGTCTTTTTAGCAGCATCATATGACCCCTTTAACAAATCCCAAGTAAATCAGATGGAAAAATGTTAATGTAAGTCTATGCAGGGCCAATATCTCTTACAGTTTCCAAGACTCTTACATTAAGTGTAAAATATGCACAGTATTCCATGACTTTACGTCACTCCGTCATATTACAAAATTCCATTATTTGATTAATTATATACAAATATCTAAAACTGGGCTAAAAGAGACACTTTAAGGCCTAATGTTGTCACTGAATGTTGACTTAAATCTCATCAGACTTAGTTAAATGACAACATTATACTAATAAGATAATAATGAATATAATTTAGGTTATATGAGTCAGTCAACTAAAATTATTTAGCTGAATCTACTTGGATTTAGTTCACTTAAATGTGCACTCTTTGGGAAGACCATATAGGTAAACTAAATGACTTTTTTTAAAGACAAAAATGTAAAACATTTGAGGTAACTATTTGAGTATGGTTAGCTAATTAGGATTTAGAGTGCACAAAAACACTTAACATTCAAGCAAAGACCTTATAAGGTTATATACATGATGTAGACAGTACAAAAAAGGCAAGTATATAAACAACATATAAATATATGCTGAGATGTGTTGTGATTGTTACGCCCGCAAAAACGACAAAGTGTCGGTAAAAATGTTGCAGTTTTTAGGAAGCATGCAGGAAAGAAGTAACGTTACCATGTCGCCATCTAACGTTCAACTCCTATACACTTTCACAAGCCTTACTTACAAATGATTGTTACTCCCTCTGTCTGCAGGTCGTAATGCGCACTGCTTGTGCACAAGCTTAACTGCCAGACTTTTCACAGTGTCTAATAAAAATGCTGATTTAGCAATGAAAGAAAAGATAATAGATTTCTTGATGCATCCGATCTCACAGTGTTTGTGAGATTCACAATGCCACGTGACATGACAGACGGTTTAACTTACAGAATGAATTTTAATACATCACCTCAAGGTAAAATAAATCCAAAGGTTTTATTTGAGAATCTAAGAAGTCTTCATAAGTGCGAAACTCTTCCACGGTTTCTCCCGCAAAGATGCCGCTGTCGTCTTCCATCTTGTTTACCTTGAGTTATCCCCATGGTAACAGAAAGAGCTGTAGTAAGATAGTAGCAGTTCTCGCGTTATCCGGTTGTAAACCAATCATGAGCAAATATAAATTCGTAAGCTCCGCCCATCCAAATAATCGCGGGAAAATTAGACGGTATCAAGCAACAACATAATTCTCGCTTCCAGGGGCGTCATGCACTCTTGATTTTTGAGGGTGGGGGGCGGATCATGCTTGTCACACAGCAGCCACAATAGCACTGTATAACTGATATATAGGCTTATGTTTTATTTTTATTTATTTTATTTTTTCCCCTTTTTTTCGAAATATTTCCAAACGTGTTAACTACAGGAAATATCTTGATTCTCAAATATGTGTAGCCTATGTAAATGCATTTTGCACATTTATAGATTGTTATTTGATCAATAAATGGTGATGGGCAAAGTAGACTAATAGTGTAATCTATTAAATAAAAACCCGACTTTTTGTTCCAGATATGGGTGTCATGCCATAAAATATTTTTTAATACGACTGACTTTGCATTTAATGTGAATTTAATAACAATATTGTTACTAATTATAACACTTTCGTTTTACAGAGAGCAAAGAACATTTACATTATCAAAGAACATTTTCATTCAGTCTAGCCAGAGTTCAGGACTCTCAAAAACTCCCATTAAAATCACTGAAGCTGTTTACACTGTTAAATTAATATCTTTCTTACATTAGTACGCACATCTGCACTTTGTTGTTTCTGATGAGAGAATTCGCCAGAGAATTCAGTCAGCGAGCAAGTGAACAAAACACCGCGTTTCAGCGATGACTCATCTGAACGCCTCTGATTGGCTATTGCATTCATAAGCCAACAGAATCGTGCGTAATTGGGTATAATGCAGCGCTGTACAAACGCGTCTGTCTCTGGCTCAGTGCCAGCTAGCGAACGCAGATTTGAATTTAGCAGCTGATGCTGTGCCGCACTGAACGATTTAATCATACCGGTGTGATTGTATCAAATATAAAAAATATTATTCGGCTATTTTTTGTATTTTGGAAGCTGCATTCAAAATCCACTTGGCTCAGAAATCTGAGGTGGCACGTGAATGGGCATGACGCCTCTGCTCACTTCAGTGTAAGTTTGTTTGTCTGTAATGCTGTTCCTTAGAGCTCTAAAATAATTATTTCAACTATATTAAAAGTTCAAATCAATACCAGGCTACTAATTCTGCTAGGATGAGAGTAGCAGGAAAGTTCACTGATATGCATCCAAAAGCTGTTTTAAAATGACGTGTAGGAAAGCATTACAAGTGGCAGGTGATGTATGTTCATGTGACTTAGACACTGTTATATCATGCAGTCTGGCACAGCCTTCCAGTACTAAAATAAGTGAGCTTACTCTATGTAATGAATGATTTCTTGCAGTCTAAGCTTCAATGGTATAATATAATATAATATAATAATATACTTTGAATGTTTATATTATTATATTATTTAGAGAAACTGCATCATATTTTGGTACAAATTCTACACTCTAGAAGAGTACCGGAAATGAAAGCATTATTTTTCATGCAAATTTAAAATCATCCTGCGTCACTGTTATGTCAGAATAAAGACAGAGGGACTGATTCATTTTTTAAACAGCAAACATTAAATATTAATATTTTAAGAGTTCCTTTATGCTATTTTATAATATTTTTGGACTGAAGATCTTTTTCTTTTGTCCTTTAATAATATTTTGGGGGTATTGTTTCCCAATAAAATCTATCTTGCTTTTACAACATAAAATGCCTAATGATCAAATAAATACATTTATTTTAAAGACACAATTACCAATAAGCTGATAAACGTTTTGTAGATTTTGACTGCTATGAATATTGGGGTTGTTTTAGGTTTCGTGGATCTTTAGCTACTGCATTAAACACTACTGGATTTGGTGGGAATTTATTTATCGTTATTTATCGATTGGACAGTTTGGTGGATTTATTTGCTGTTTCATTTAAAAGTATTGAGAACATGGCAAACAGGTCTGCTTAATGTTTTGCCAAGTCGTGTCAAAATGTACCTGTAGCCTAGTTATTCATCCATAACCACTAGGTGGCAGAGCTCTTCAAAATTTTATTAAAAAGTTCTCGATGTTCTCGAAGTTTTATGCATTTTGTTATCATTTTTTTCCCAGCTTAACTTGGTAAAGTTGATTTTGGAATAGGAATGGCAAAAATTCGATTCCCATACAAAATCCATAGTGTTGGCATAGTGTTAGTGTCTTGGCATATATCCAAGTAGTATGAAGAAACCTTTAGAGCCATAGCACTGTTCAGCATTATGCCTTATGCAGACACCATTTGATGTGGATTTCTTCGATGTCTTGACCCCTGTATTTCAACCTGTTTGATGAGACACTGTTGCAAACCATTTTCCGGTGGAATGTCTGACCTCTGCCAAACCCTGACTTTACCCCTTGGATCAGACCAACAGGATAATGGCACAAGCCAGCTGTTATGTCAGTTGTAATGGGCAAGTCTTCAGACACGGATATCCACTACCACCACCATGCATGCGCAATATGGCTTTTGGCCACACTGTTGATTCCAGTTGCATGAATTGAAGAATGCAGAATTAACAAAATGTGCTATAATAGCTGTGATTAAAGTACTCAAAAACCTTTTAAGGATTTCTGATGTATCCTAAAATATTCCATTTCCAAATACAAAAGCACAGCATTCCTATTGTGGTAGTTTGTAAAATAGACAATAGCCTCAGAATAAATGTAGGAATTGTAAACTGGAGATTTTAATGTCACTATAGTGAAAAGTTTATTAGAAATTAATTGTTGTGAAATGTTTGGAAATGGATTAATAATGGGTGCAATCACCTGTAAACACTGAAGATGAATTCCACACAGTTTCAGTGTGTCCTGCTTGACAGTTATAGAGATATTTTGTGAAGGGTCATACCACAACTGTCTGCCATTTGATATTCCTATGAGCAGAGCTCATAAAAACAGAGCAGTCCCACAAGACATGTTTATCCTTGTGAGACATCGCTCTTCTGTGGAATGCACTGGGGTCATGACAGGATTTTAATTTCCAGGACAGTCAGCAGCCATAGTTAGATAGATTAGCAATCCATGTGCATAATTCAGCCCAGAAATATTCAAAATAGGCCGCCTTTTTCCTATATTGCTGTTCACTTTTAAAAAAAATATATTTGCAAATGACCATCAGAAACGTTATAATCTTAGGAGCTGGATAACTGTGCAAAAAAAGCTTGTAGAGACATAAATATATTGTATAAATACAGTGAGGTATAAAAATGTAGTTATATTTTGTAAGATCACTGAGGATAATTATTTGATTTTCAGAAGATGAAATGCACATCAGACTTCAGAATTTAATTCCGTCCTGAAAATGTCTTGTGATTGGCTCATTCAGCCCTTTGACATAATGTACATGATGACTGGAATGCTCAAGACGTGTAAATTAAGCAAGTATTGATTATCCTGAAGAGAAAACTAGTTATTTCAGAAAACCAACTTTTTTGCAAGATTAGTCCATGTTTAAGACAGCGCTGGTTTATCCAAATCGAAACTTCGGCCAGTATTTGACTACTGGTCGATTCTTCTTTCCAGTGTTGACTGCTATTTTCGGTATAGGGGGTGTTGATGGATGTGGAGGTGGTTGTTTTTCCTGCTCTTTGTCTGTTATTGTGAATCCTTGTTCAGTCTTTTCATGTAGGTTCATCCTCGGCAGAAAATGTGTAGACACGTGTTGTGACTTTACTCTCGGACTGGACCCCATTTTTGCTTTTCCTCTCTTGTTAAGTGCCACAAACCACTCTCTACCAGTGCGATGGTTCTTGTGGATCACTGAGGCGTACGTGTTGTAGCTGTTCTCCTGAAACCTCTCCCTGAACTTACAGTCATCTGTAAAGCTCTCCTGGGGAAAAGGACAGGAAAAGGGGGAATGAAATGATACAAAGATAGAAAATCAACAAGTTGTTCAGTCTTATACTGATATGCCTGTGCATGTTAATGGTCATGTTATTATGTCTTGAATCTTGGCTTTCAACACAGTCAGTGAATGATACTAGATCCCTCTGATGATCTTTGTTTGTACTTCAGCCAGAGTCCAGCTGCAATGATGTTTATTTAGTGTATGGTTTCCTATACTATTTGTACATCTTATTTTCAAATTAGATAATGTTTTACACTTGTGCTAGAAATAGTAATGGCCATAAGTTTTTTTTTTTTTTTCCCTGCAAGCTACTCTGCAAGTTTGCTAATGTGAGCCTACAAATAAAATAAATAGACCATGGTTGTATAATTCATCATGGAATTAAATGCTCCTCCTTTATTCAGAGTAGCAGTTTGTATTATAGCTTCATCAAAGCAATACTAAATAAAAAAGTCACAATTAAAAAAAAAAAAGACAAAAATTTGATAAATTCTGCAAAGGGTATGCACACTTATGAGCAGAGCTGTACAGGTGCATCTCAATAAATTAGAATGTCGTGGAAAAGTTCATTTATTTCAGTAATTCAACTCAAATTGTGAAACTCGTGTATTAAATCAATTTGAGTTGAATTACTGAAATAAATGAACTTTTCCACGACATTCTAATTTATTGAGATGCACCTGTATATGGAAGTGATCAGCTTTTGTACTGTGCTTCAATTTTACCACAGCAATAGACAGAGCCACAATGCTTTAACACTTTGGGCACACAATAAGTAATTACTGTGCACACACTTTGTAGGGTGCCACATTAGCAGCTGCTGGAGAGAGAACACTTTAAAACCATGAATTACACTAGACCGAAGTGACAGAACCCTGACACTTTGTGGCCTGATTGAGTTAGCCCCTCATAAAGAGAGTTAATGAAAAGCACCAAGCAGATTATAGACACCGAGCCCCAGAAAGAAGCATTGAGGGGGTTACAGAATAATTGCAAGTCTTACTTTTATCTCCCAGCTCAAAGTCATCAAAACCGACTTTCCAATCAAAGACTTCGGTGACTGACAGAAGCAGAGCTTTGTTTGTGTGGGCTGAAAACTCATTAGGCTATGAAATAACTTTATCCTTCCAGGGCACAGGAAAGCAGGACACATGCTTGTTTATAGGCAACCTATGGTTATACTGTGCAAACCCCTCCACTTAGGTAGGGTTTCAGAAATGCAGCCATACCCTGACAAGACCAGACATCCATTAGATCTCTCTTAGTAAATGTTTTTAAACATTTGACCAAAGCTCAGATAGTTCAATTAGATGAATTTGATCAAATCAACACTGGATAGCAGGCATGAAGCACACTCAGATAAGACTATTTCTTGACTGGTCTGTTGTTGATTCTTCTCTGGCTCTCTGTCGAATGTGAGTTTGGACTCCTCTTTAGGAATATCTGAGACCTGCTCATTCAAGTCTGAGTAAAAACCAAGACCAGAAGGGCTCGGTCTTGACTTGGACTCGAAAGAGGTGGTCCCGAGTCGACTATTCATATTAATACAGTACGTTGTGCCCTATTTTTGCTCATTTGTTTTACAGTGCACACCACTGGTTATTCTTCTAGGACACTTGTGTGAATGTAAGGGAGACTGATTTCATACAACCATTAAAAATCACCAAAACACCAGCTACAAGTCTTTGAAAACATTTCACAGAAAAGTGAAGTTGGTTACGAGAAGCTCTAGCATCATTTGATTTCAGATGCCACTTGGTTTGATATTTTGCATCTAGTGCAATGAAATGATACTTTTTAAAAATCTGACTTAAGTGTGCAAATACTTTTTGGAGACAGTGTTATTAGTTTGTAAACAGCAACTTATAACAACAACTGTACACAACGAACATTATTAAGAAATTTGGCCTCACTCTCTAAAAATAAATGTGGTGGGAAACTATATCATGAATTTAATGAGGGTCAGTCCCAAGTAAGAGGTCTTGCATAATTCCCAAACTCTGAAATAATAAAACTGTTCTGGTTTGCTGAAGAGTGCAGCAAAGCAGAAAATGGTGCTATTACAATATTTTCTAAACATGCCAGTCACAACTTGACCCTCCGTAACTTCACAGGGGCTCTCTCCCCTAAATGTGGTAATTTGCCCCAAAAATATCTGAACGTTTGTTTGATTAGGGTACATGGATTCTGTCTTCTGGAAGTGCTTTTTTGACTGCCGTTTTAAACAGCAGCCAGCTGTTGAAGATACGTCCTTTTATGAAATTTTTGGGGGTTATATCAATCTATGTTTGAGGAGATACTAGAAATCCCATATGTCTGTTGTTCGGTGTCTGCAAGCAGTAGACATTTTATTGTCAAGTCATGAACTTGCACAGCTGCTTGACCTGTGTCTGTTCTCTGACAGCTTTCTTTGCGAATATTATTCAAAAACAACCCTCTCTCAAGATTTCCCATACTGTGGTACCTCCACTGTTCAGCCATGCACCACCAGCGTTGAGTTATTATACTGTTGCAGACACAGATACGAGTAATTACATCTTGGCACGACAGATTTGTTCCCATTCATAAGTGTCACTGTATTATTCAGAGTTGTTTCCTTTACCTTTAGACCATGTGAGCAAAATAACATTTGAGACACATCTCTGGCTCATGAGCAATCCACGTTTCATGGAATGGGAGACCGTTGCATCTCCATTTCCCTCTTGGTTTCTCACCCGCTCCCCATTGTTTTCTCAATAATTGCAGTGACCTCTTAAGCTTTGCAAAGATTATGTTGGTAATGACTTGCTGGGTAGGTCACACGGCATAATGTATATCTGTCTTCCTTGCCATTATCGCAGCAATAAATTGCCACTATGAAAACATCTAAATATTAAATATGACAGATAGTGCAACAAAAATCAGACGCTAAGTCATTTGATACTCCTTTGGTTAGGCCGGCTTGTCTACGGAGTGAAGTGCTAGGGGTTTAAAACCCAAGCTGACAGCTATTAAATAAGCCTGTGCAACTGTAGCTGGTCTGAGGAAATGAAACCCAATTCAAGTCTGAAGGAGCCGCTGCAGCTGCTTTAATTACAGATGATGTCTGCAGCAGTTTGGAGGCTAATCCTCAGATTTATCAGACTACTTTATTATCCATCCCTTACGAGATAATTCTAAAATTGTTAAACATTAATGTGAAGTATGGTCCGTATAAATACAGAAATATATATATTCATATATATATATATATGAATTTAATACTTTATATTCAGCAAGGATGCAATACATTTTTTTGTGACAGTAAAGACATCTATAATGTTACCAAACTTTTCTATAAATGCTTTTCTTCTGAACTTTATAATCATCAAAGATACTAAAAAAAAAAATAAAAAATCACATTTTCCTCAAAAATATTAAGCATATTATTAGGATGATTTCTGTAGTATCATGTGACACTGAAGATTGGAGTAATGGCTGCTGAAAATTCAGCTTTGCTATCACAGGAATAAATTACATATTGAAATATATTAAAAGAGACAATAGATATTTTAAATTGTAATAATATTTCACAATATTACTGTTTTATTTACACTTCTTACACTCAACAAATGCTTTTGAATTGTGGTGTATATGTTTAATTTTGTGTAGAGCAGAAATCAGAACCCATCTTACAAGGTGTCCAAGTGTATCGTGGAGTTGAAAGCTGAATAATAATAATAATGATAGATTGGTTGAATAGATGGGATAGATTGAGTTTTCTCACAATAAACTTGTAGTGTCTCTGCGACCAATCCTTTGGACAAATTGGGGGGAAAAAAACAGTTCCTTTTATGGGAGGATTAAACAATTTTCATTTTAAAGCTATATGAATACAGATAAGAGTTCCATATACTGTTGCTTTGTATGCATAAGTCCCAGTTCTTGCTGTTTGCATGCTAAGTGCCCTTAAAGCTGCCCAACTTTGTTGACACACATATTGATTCCTTTCCTTGAAAGATTATCAACTACCCCAGACTCGTTTTAATCTGCTCTTCCCATTAACACATGCTAATAAGCTCTGCCTTCTATCAGACAGCCCAGAACCCTGCAAAGCCAGATTGCTCTGAAACTGCAGTGTATCTCTCCATGCTGTGTGCTGTACAAGTCTTTGTAGAGAGAATTTGCAGAGGCTCACAAATATCACAGTAAGCTGAGATTTCCTTCAGAAGTGTGTATGGGGAGTTTTTGTTTAGCACATTTGGGTTGGTTTGCATCCACTTTATTGTAGTGGATGTATGAGCTTATATTGTGTTGGATCAGACTTACAGTCGCATGAAGCCTCCCCCTCTTGTTCATGGCTAGAAATTGGCTGCTAAAAACCCCTCGGATCCCTATGACCCCCTGAGACACGGCAAACAGCTCCAGCACACCTACAGATGGAAAAAAACCACATTGATTGCAGTGACGACTGATGACCTTTATGTCCTAAAAGTCAAAGGTCAAACAATGTCTATGTTCACACAACAGCACAATATAGTTGTCAGTCCTATTTGGAGTAATACATACGGTTCTGTCCATAATGAAAGAGAGTGACAACTGCATTCTATAACCAAAGTGCCTTCCTTAAAATTTCAAGAGTCACAATGGAATTTATGTGGTAATATGTGGTAGTTGTCTGCCATGTCATTGATTATTATTATTTATTATACAACAGTTCTTTCTGGTCTTCGAATCTGATTGGCTGAGAGCCTTTTCCAGCGGTGTAATATTCTCCGACCATTTCACTGTTTTTATCACTCCACTTGCAGTATTTCTCACAGCAAGAAATAATACTGTTTTGTCACAGAATATAGTTTTAAGATTTTTTTTAGGTGAGAATGTAGTGGTATAGACTTTAGACTTTTTAGACTAGATATGCGGTTTGTTAATAAAGATAACGTCTAATTGAACATTTGCTTCGACGTTTTCAGAGATGTGAGCTCCAGGACGTCAGTGGCTGTTCAGCACTCATGAACATGCCGAGAGCAGCCTTACCTCGGCCAGTTCTTCTGGACTTTGCCGCCAGGTTGTTAAACATGAGAAATAATTTGTTTTGGGTAAATCTAACAGGCAGTCCTTGGTCTCATTAATCTATTATTTGTTCCAGAGCAAATAGTTTTGGCTGAGGGCAAAGTCTCATAATGTTATGTTTTATATAACTTCAATGCTGTATATCAGAGCGCGGCCTTTGCACTTTTGACTGAATTGCCTAGCAACTTTATGATGGCTGTTGTTGTTGTTTATTGTTGTTGTTCTTTATTATTACTGTCTTTATGAGTGAGTCAGCGGTAAAGACTTGTATATTGAAAGAGACTGAAACAGGGTTGTAAACAAGAAAGTTATTTTTACTTTCAACAACATCCTGTTAGACACAGCCAACAAATGGAAGTGAGCAGTGCTGTCATCGGAAATCACCCGTAACAGATGAAATGATAGTACAACAAAGATATTGCTTTCCTCAGCGCACATTCAAACTAATATTTTATTGTGAATATGAGATTGAGCTGAAGAATAAATGCTGTATCAGATGCAGGTAATCACACTCGCTCAGTCCATCTCTCTCTCATAATACTCTACTCCACATAATACAGCTTTAAATACAGTGATACAATAAGCTTTTAATGAAGCAACTCAACGTTCCTTCGTTACTAGTTCCTTCGTTACTAGCTGTTAAACTGTCAAAGATTTGAATCTGTGGCGGAAGGAAGTAGTTCTGCACAAAAGAGGGTTTTTAAAGACACTCCGTTGTTGTCTCTTTTTTATTTGCACACTTGTGCTGTCGAACTGTTGTATAAATGCAATATCACACTCATAGCCTGCGATATGGCTGTATATCAGCACGGCTGTTATACCTATTACCTACGGCTAAATCACAGCCGTGCTGATATACAGCCATATCGCACTGACACTTGTGTGATATTGCTTATATATCATCACTTATGTCACCCTCTCTCATGTTATAAAAATGGCAGAAAATAGGGGTATTGTATGGTTGGAAAGTTTTTGGGCGGAGAATGAATAAAATAAGTAAGTGAGTAAATAAATAAATAGATAAATAAGAACTAGAGTTTTAAACTCTATATTTGGCAGGTCAAACACCAGGAGATGTTACACAGAAAATAGTTTAGAAAAACATTAGGCCTACATTCTTAAAGACACAATATAAAATATTGATATTATCTATTGTTCTATGACATTTTGGTTACAAGCATTATTCAATGCTATAGCAGATTAGAGAAGAGAACTGAGTTCAGTAACCAGTTCATACACAAACATTATTCTAGCCACTCCTGTCTGCAGTTGTATGTACACGACATACAATGAGAGTCATATCAGGTAATAAGTACATTTATTCCCAAACACTGACTGTGTGAACATGTGAACACTGTTTTTTTTTTCTTCTTTTATATTAGACAGGATATTAAATGCCTTTATATGAACAGTAAGTAAAGAATAGAGAAAGCACTGCAACACATACTGTAAATCACACTAACATCATAAAAAAAAACATCCACCCAGAAAAATGAATGTGACTTCCCAATGCAAGTTCTATAAGACTTGGGTGCACTTCAGTTAGCTTGTGTGTAGTGATACAGATTTCATAGGGTCCAGAAATAAGCTTTTTACTGATTTTATAGAGCCCATTTGTTACCACTGTTCATTTTTTGTATATATATTTTGAGGTGGTTTCACGTAAGTGAACTATATTCTATATCCACATAAGAGTTGACTGCTTAATATAAAAACTGACTGGCATTTGGATATAGCATCCATCTTTTTAATATTTAAGGCATTAATAGTATTGGTCATTACTGTTTGTTGATATTGAAAATGAGATTGGTTAGGCTGCATTCTTTCAGAGAGATGTTTCAGGTCAATGATGTTTGCTATCTAAACATTCTGTCTGGCATATGGACTTAACACCCACAGCCAAACTCAAAGTCCCTTTTTACTTTAATCTAATTTTGATCATCTGTTTGACAGTAGACCCTCTAAATAGACCTAGTACTATGGTATGTGTACCGAGCAATTCAACCATTAACAGAAATCTAGTGCATGGCATGTTAATGATGCCACTCACTGCAGCTTTCAGCTCACTAGCATTCTGAACTCAGCTGCTGCACCTGTTCCCATACCTGTAAATAAACATCCGCTCTAAACAAGAGACTCCAACCAGGGGATGTACTAGTTTATCATTCATTCAGTCAGATCAGTCTGGAATGAGTTATTTAAGCCAGTACATATTTGCACAGCTCATCAATAAGATTCTGTCTATGTGACTTGGAAGGACCTTCTCTATTATGCAAAACTGTTTAAACATACATGCCATTAAAGCATTTTAATGATTCTATTTGGTCATTTGAATAACTTATCGGCATTTTGAATGTAAATTGGCACAATTTCATTCGTAATGAGTATTAAGTTTATTTCCATCAGAAAATTATAATCTAAGTAGTCTGCAGCCATACCAAGTATGAAAAAGGATCAATCAGTCACTAATTTGAACTTCGCTCTCCACATGTCCGTAAAGATTGGTAAATGATAACTTACTTAACGGATTAGGTTCGTGACTCCCGTTGACTCTTCCATCGGCGTGAATCTGAAGGTGGAACCCTATTCCAACTCTACAGTACAGTCTTCCAGTCCTGCGCCCCGATACGCGCCCTTCCGCGACAAGTTGGTGCTCCAAATACGCGCGTTCAGATCCCGTAAGCACTGCAGAGCGAGACAACTGAAAGAGGAGTAAAAGCAGGAGAGGAACGTTCATTCTTTCCAGAGAGCTGTCTGTGCGCGTGCTAGGCCACTTCCAGCATTTTGCTGCTGTTCCAGCGCTCTGAGGTAACTCGCTGTTTCACTGGTGGGCATTACCCTCGGCTGCAGGAGCTGGAGCAGATCTGCTGGCAAAGCGATATTTATATAACAAATGATCTCACTGCTTGATGCGTGCCTGAGATGTGCAGGATGCTCTCTCTCATCCTCAATTTATATCGGACGAAACATTCAAGCCGTCCTGAGATTTATATCGTTGGAGATGTACTGAAGCTCCAAACAGCGTGGCTTTGACCAGGGACAGGAATGTGCAGTTATATATGTATACTTTAATACATGGGTCAGTGACAATCAATGATATTAGATGTAATAAAAAATATGTACTTTAGGAATCTAGATTAAAACACACGTGGCAAGTTCTTAAAATGTTAGATTTAGTCGTGTTTTCAAAAGTATTTGTCGTTTTGGAAAACGTTTATATTAGTATAGCTCCAGAAAAATGTATTTAATGTCAAGTGGTGTAACCATGATAAAGTATAAAGTACGGAATACATTTCTTTCAAATTGTACGTGATTGTACTTTTTTTCTTTCTTTCTTTTTTTTCAAACACGTTTTCACATATTTTCCATGGGGATTTACAAATCTATCATAATTTTTTTTTAGTTAATATCAAGAGGTTTTGGTAGGCTAGTCCATTTGACCTCAACAAAACGTATCTTTTCATAAAAAGGTAAAATAATGATAACAATAAGGTCATATATAGCCTGTAAATATTTTTTTAATGTTTTTTTGTAGACTTGATGACCTTGACATACAGTCTTGTGGGTGTACTTTTTTGTTTCATGACAAAAGTGGCCTCCTGCGTTTTGGTCGCACCGTTAGGCCTTTGAATTGGACTATATGTACAAACGTTATAGTCCTCCTATTGCAAAATCTCTTCACTGCTTTTTTATGAATAATAAACGATTTTGCGATTTTTGTGGTAAAATATAATAATGTTTTGCACAGATACCACCTAGACATATTTAACTTTAAACCCCACATAACAAATCTAAATGACTTTTAATAGCCTACTGCAAACATGTTTATCATAAGAGGTGTGTTCAAGTCTTTTTAAACAAATTTGATTTTTTTTATAAGCTCTATGTATTTCTGAATAAATTAATCAGAGAAAGGAGCTTCACGTCACGTAAATGAATAAAAAGTACAGACTCCTTCTGCGTTTTACGCACGGGGGAACATGTACAGTTGGGTGGACAAGCAAATCATTTATGACTGGAAAAGAAGCGATTGCCGAAGCTGTCTATCTAGAATGCTTAGAGGTGCTCAGGTATGTTTTGTTCATTCTCGCGCACAAGCGTGAACGTGTCTATCACAGGGAGTTGCATTAATGTTAGAGGTTCTTAGCACTGATTCTTTCTGGGACAAGCAGGCAACAATAATTAAAATATACAACTATAAAATTCATGTTGAAAAGAGGACCTTGAGGATGAAGACTGACTTGAATGTATTTATAAATATCCAGTGTTGACAAAAAGTAGGTACACAGCTGTGAAATCTTATAAAAAAGTATATAAAGGTATATTTTCTAACAAATAAATAAAATAAAATAAAAATTATTTCAGTCAGAACATAGTATTAAAGGGGTCATATGATGTTGCTAAAAAGAACATTATTTTGTGTATTTGGTGTAATGAAATGTGTTTATGCGGTTTAAGGTTAAAAAAACACATTATTTTCCAAATTATTTAAATATAAAAAAACGTACTTACAGGCTGTGAGTCAGAAGCGCCAGACTGTCCTTGCAAAGTTGTTACTGCCCAACTTTATAGAAACAGCCTTTATGCACAGATGCATTGTAGGCTACTTGTTTTAGGAAACAGTCCTCATCCTCCATAAAATGTGCTGCACACATCTGAATATTTGGGTTGAACTGTTCTGGAACAGTGTTGTGAATAAAACTTAACCACTGATTTCTGAACTCTGTGTGTATTGTGTTCTGTACGGGCTGACAGCAGATGTGGTTTGGGACACTTTTGGAAGGCCAAACAAAGTAGTTTCGCTTTCACAACGAAATAGCGTCACACACCACGGCCTTGAGTGAGCGGAGGCCTGCAGGCTAGAGTGAGGCTTGCGGCAACCACATGTGACGACCCCGGGCTGGACTCCGCTTCGTCCACGGTGAAAGCCGATCCGGC